AAGTAAGGTTTCACTCATGATATTGAGATTTTAATCGAATTGCTCCAAAATATATCGTGCAGATCCATTCAGTAGGACAAAGTAAAACTCCATGTTATATTTGAGGTGGTTTGTTACATGCATAATACATTTATTTTGATGAGAAATCAGGACATATGCAACCACAGCTGAATCTATCAAACGTTAAAATATCAAGCTTCTGACAATATCTCGAGGGAAAAACACCCACACAACAGAGGAAGAGGTTTCTGATGACAGAACCCAAACCAGTTATGATACTCAGTGGATGTGGAGTAACACTCTGTGGTTAGAGTTAAAAACCTTTATGCCTGAAGCCTTACAGAACACATATGCACACATAAACTTAAAAGTGCCACGTCTTGTCTGTATAAGCCACGTTTGCCCTGCAGGTCTTGATGCCTGATTTCTACGTCTTAAATTGATTTTTCCCTACATTTCTGCCATATGTACATTAACTGACAGTCACCACTGATAAACTACCACTAAATATTGTAGAAACTTAATTTGCTGTAAAGTTGCTTTGCAATGATTTGTACTATGAAAAACGCTATATAAATAAATTTAAATTGAATTGAATATATATGCTTTTGTACAATCTGATTATGACCCAGAGATGGTTATGTTTAGGGGTGATTTCATACGATTCATATTGTACATAAAGTACAAACTATCTCGCTTGCAGCTTTCGCAGAATGCCGCAGCTAGGCTTTTGACCAGCACTGTCCTCTCTCCATTGGTTTCCAGTCAAGTATAGGATTGATTTTAAGATTTTATTATTGGTTTTTAAAGCTATACACAATTTGTCCCCAAATTATATCTGCAATCTCTTAGGGTCGTACACATCGGGTAGGTCACTAAGATCAACAAATCCAGCTTTGTTGACGGTCCCTCAGTCCAAAAAGAAGTCTAAAGTTGATCATGCTTTTTTTCTTTTTGGTAGTATGTCCAAAATTGTGGAATGGTCTCCCCTTTTATATTCGGCAGGCTCCATCTATAGAGGTTTTTAGGTCTCAGTTGAAGACATTTTTTTTAGTCTGGCTCTTGAAGAAGGGAATTTTGATTATGGGAGCCTCTTCTAAGTGTTTGTTTTTTACATCTTATTTTAATTGTGACGCATATCCAAGATCTGCATTTACACTGTACACTTGACCAAACAACACAAAGTAGACGTACGGACCAGAAAATCTCCGCTGCATCACAGAAAATTTTTTTAGTCTGGCTCTTGAAGAAGGGAATTTTGATTATGGGAGCCTCTTCTAAGTGTTTGTTTTTGTAAGTTGTGTTTGTGTTTTGATGTTAATTCTTGTTTTTGTGAAGCACTTTGGTCAACAAAGTTGCAATTAAATGTGCTATAATAATAACTATTTTATGAGGTGACAAATAAAAGTTGAAGTTGAAATTCATACAAAATTATGTTTTCCAGGAGTGAGATCGGGTTGGAAATGCACACCATTTTCAATTTGTGATGCAATAACCCAAATTATTGGATATCTTCCAATATCATGGAAGATATTCTTATAGCATTGACCATAATCCTCTATAGACATCTTCAGAAAGTCACTGCTCTCGACTCTGATCCACATACAGAGAATGTGTCTCTGTCTTCAGAAACATGATCCAACACTCAAGTACATGTGAGGAACGGACGTGGAGCTGATGTGCATCAAGAGCTCAGCTGCTGGGAATAAGCCAGAGATGGAAGGACTAGAGCGAGTCTCCATGTGTTTCAGTCAGTGAGCAGAAGACAGCACAATGAATGAGCTATTTTACTCCTGCATGAAAATGAATTTCAAATGTAGGTTAGGGAGAAACCAGTGCCCGTATGTATGAAGCCGCTCAAGAGTAAAATTTTAGTCCTAAGTGTGTCAAAATTCTAAGAATGACGTAATGTTACTCTTATTCCTAGACTTAGGAACCTTTATGAATTACTCTTATTCTTAAGTGTTAAGACTAGGTCTCAGCTCCTAAATGATTTAAGAGAGCTTCTCCATGTGTTTCAGTCAGTGAGCAGAAGACAGCACAATGAATGAGCTCTGCTGAGTCCAGGAAGACTGGCCAGACAACAGAGATGATGCACTGAATGCAGTCAAAGCATTCTGGGACTCAAAGCCAGCTTGTTGTGGCTGATGGTGTTGCTTACAGAGGCCTGTGCACAGTTGTAGCACATGCAGCAGGACATTACTGGTCATCCAGCTTTAATATCATCTAGAGAAGGTTCCTAAGGCCTTGTGGAAATATAAAACTGAGTACCATCAGTAAATTCCATGTTTAATTCCACATTACTTACAAGCACGTGCCGACATACTGACTATTATTTACACTGATTACTAAACAATACATGTTTCGAGAAGCAGTGGTTGTGTGCGGCGTCTCCCTGATTTTGTTGCGATCTTGGGAAAAGAGCGTAACAATTACATATAGCAGATAATCCTGCTATTTTTACAATACGATAGATTTTTTTACACTAAGTGCAAATAGCAATAGATTCTATTAACACTAAGAAAATATGCTATTTTCACTTAATAGTGCAAATAGTCACTGCGTTCACTTAAATCATCAAAATAAGAAGGGAAACTGCGGTCCATTGAAGGTAGCTAAATGTTGCTAGATGACTTCATAACGGCGAGTTCACTGATCTATATAAATATAAATATAGATCAGCAGGAGAGTCTTGGAAACTAATTAATGCTCGTCCAATACATTTATTTTGTTGCTAGGCTTTTGAAAAAAGTCTCAAAAGGGGTGAGGAAGTCACTAAATTGGCAACACTGTCACATTGACTACAACATAATCAGTTAAAGGGATACTCCACCCCAAAATGAAAATTTTGTCATTAATCACTGATGTCGTTCCAAACCCATAGAAGCTTCGTTCGTCTTCGGAACACAATTTAAGATATTTTGGATGAAAACCGGGAGGCTTGTGACTGTCCCATACACTGCCAAGTAACTGTCAAGGTCCAGAAAAGCATGAAAGACATCATCAGAATAGTCCATCTGCCGTCAGTGGTTCAACCGTAACGCTATGAAGCGCCTGCGTTCGGCTCATATTCTCCAAAATGGCGCTACAGTGAGGCGGAGAGACACAGAGGAGACGAATTGTTGAATAAAGTTGTTATGTTTGACAATATCGGAGAGGGGTTTTTTCACCCGGCCCCTCCTCCTCAGATTTGATGCAGACGCAGGTTGCCAGATTGCTAACTCTGACCCCATTCGTTTGGCAGCTTCTATGACTGAAATGAAATGCGCTGTGTTTTCCGCCAACTGGCAACCTGGGATGCCAAAATACAAATTGGGTAAACCGGCAGGGGGTGGAGTCACACAGACCAAAACAAAGACAGACATTCCGACACGGAACGCACATTTTCAAAGGAGAATAGCTGACTGTAGCATTGTTTTTCAGATAAACAAGTATGTTAACTTACATATCTGCAAACATATTATGTATTTTTATGCTTTAGTAGAGTCAAAAACTTCCCTACAGCACCTTTAAGTCAAAGCTGAAGGCTATTCATATGAGCATTGAATTTCGGCGCGGGATTGTGCATAATTCTACTGATTCCCGCAGTTTCCGCGCTTGTAACGCGGGAAATTCCCGCAAATATTTCAAAATCGGGCCCTGATGACTGAAATGAAATACGCTGTGTTTTCCGCCAACTGGCAACCTGGGATGCCAAAATACAAATTGGGTAAACCGGCAGGGGGTGGAGTCACACAGACCAAAACAAAGACAGACATTCCGACACGGAACGCACATTTTCAAAGGAGAATAGCTGACTGTAGCATTGTTTTTCAGATAAACAAGTATGTTAACTTACATATCTGCAAACATATTATGTATTTTTATGCTTTAGTAGAGTCAAAAACTTCCCTACAGCACCTTTAAGTCAAAGCTGAAGGCTATTCATATGAGCATTTATGGGCCCTGATGTTCAGTGCAAGTAGTCCACTGAATTTTCACCAATTTTAATGATAATTTTGAATATACATTTTGTAATGATTTGTAAATCTTTAATAAACAGAAATGTCAATTTCTGATGAAGTTATTCCTGTACATCTTCACATTTATCACAATTTCAAGAGCCAGTAGTGAGAATGAGGTGCACTTCAGCAGAACATCATTGAAGAGCAGGACTGCTTGATTAATCAGAGTCTGACGAAACCAAAGCTGGAGCTGAAGCGGATTCAAAGACTGATGTGGTGCTTCACAAATATCACTGTCTGCAATTAAACAAACGCCTTTGGTTTAATTTTTGATGTCATGTAATGGTTTTGCATCACAAATGTAATGGTTTTACATTTTAATGTTGTAGTTGCATGCGCATTAAGCATTCATTATGTTTAATGCATCTTTGTTTGTTTGTTTTTTTTCTTTCAGCTCATTATCTGACAGAATCACTCTCCATTCACCACTGTTTCCGGAGTGAATTTAGACTATAAAAGAACAACCATCAGCTCATAAACATCATCATCTGTCTTGTAATTGTCATTATGATTGCAGTTTAGGAACTCATGTTATGTTATCTCATGTATGAGTTCATATATTGTTAACTATATTTGTATTTCAGCCTCTGGTATCACTGACTGTTTGTAGTTAATCAAACTAGTTTCTGTTAATTAAAGGAGTGCACAGTTTCAGTTTTACTATCAGCACTGAATGGAATAACTACACAGATGTTTTCTTTAAGAAACAGAAATCTAAGTTCCCTTTCGATTCGTTCACTTCGACGTTGCATTGAGGGGGAATGCAATGGGGGAACTTATGGGGAAACCCTTCCTCCAATTACTACTGAAGCTTTATTGAGTCACGCCAGTGAATCTGGCCAATGGCGTTCAAGCGCACAAAATATGAGGGGCTTCCCACTCTATATAAGGCAGCACTTGTACATCATCCATTCAGAATCTTTTCCTTCAGCTAACCTTCTACGAGAAGTAAAAAGCCTATCAACAAGAGTACTCACCGTGATCTACACGCTGCAGCTGACACGCCTTCTCTACCCTGCTGTGTTCCGGTGAACTTCGGACAAGGATGACCTCTTGCGATTGCCTCTCCTGCAATCAACGAGACAATCAAGAGGCGGCTCTTTGGGGGTTGGACTGCCCCCACTGTGGAGATATGAGCCTTCGGACTCTCAGGCTCCGTGTGGCCATCGTCCAAGGCGATGAACTCGCCCAACTAGCTCAGCTGCACTCTTCCTCTGCAGCCTCTTTTGAGCCAAGGAGTAATGTACCGCGAGCTTTCGATGTGCATCTGTCCGGGTCAGGTGACGAGCTTGCTCCGGCTCAGTGCCCACGCGCTCCTAACCCCCCTGGTGCAGGTTCCCTTTCATGACCGCTGGTCTCTGTCCCTCCCCCCGCGCGCATTACGTGGTGTCTTTTGGTGCCATGGAGGACGCTAAAGATGATGCCATTTTGATGGCAGCGTCTGCGAGGGAGGAGTGGTCAAACAGCCCGCTGGATTACACTGTGTCCCACCGCAGCAACGCTCCCTCCTGTCACCTGTGGACGGCGCTGACCAAATGGGGTTTGTTAAACTTCCCCCCGTGGAGGAAGCCGTCACTGCCCACCTCTGTCCTGCAGCTGTGGCAAACTGGAGAGTGAGAAACGTCTAAAATTCGCTGGCAAGGCTTTCTCCTTGGTGGGCCAGGCAGCTTCAGCACTGCACGTGATGGCGATACTCCAGGTGTATCAGGCCAAACTTCTCAAGTCTCTGGATGAGGGTGGCCCAGACTCTGAAGTTTTCAAAGAGCTCTGACGCGCCACGGATCTGGCCCTCAGAGCGACGAAAGTTACAGCTCGCACAATCGGACGCTCTGCTCTCTCTCCTCTGAAGCAGATTGGAATGCGCAACCTGACCCTGAATCGACGATTGGCTAGTCTTAGCCCAATCAGTGAGCGCGCTGCTCAGCGACAAGCTCAGACTCCTTGCTCATCTTCAGAGCTTAGGGCTGACTGTGAATATGAAAAAGAGCATGCTGGTATCAAGCCAGAACATCTCCTTTTTAGGAGTGGAGCTAAATTCAATCAATATGTGAGCGCATCTGTCAGAGGAGCGCTCACAAAAATTGATCAGCTCTCTTGCAGTCTTCGAGTTAGGTCACTCTCCCCCGCTGAAATGCTTTCAGAGGACGCTCAGCCAGATGGCTGCTGCCTCAACAGTGTGCAAATTAAGACTCCTACATATGCATCCGCTTCAGCTCTGGCTGAAAAGTCGCGTGCCACAAAGCGAATGGTGCGCGGGCACCTTGCGCTTATGAGTAATGCGCGACTGCTTGAAAGCACTGACCCCTTGGCGCGATATGACTCCGTATCGACTCTCATTGAAGCCTAGAAAAGGTTATGTGCCTAAAGTGCTTTCGACTCCATTTAAAGTGCAGGTCATAACACTATCTGCTTTCTGCCCCGAAACACCGGCCGGGGTGGAGCCGCTTAATACACTCCTGCTGTGCCCTATACGTGTAGTGCGCACTTACATCAAACACTCTATAGAAAGTTCAGGCTCTCGGAGCAGCTATTTGTATGCTTTGGAGGACACACAAAAGGCCTGTCTGTGTCCAAGCAAAGGCTGTCACACTGGATCGTCAACACAATTGCTTTGGCTTATAGCTCTAAGGGTGTGGAATGTCCTCTAGGGGTTCGTGCCCACTCCACCCGCGGGCTCGCGTTCTCATGGGCCTGGGCAAATGGCATATCTATTCAGGACATTTGCATGGTAGCGGCTGGTCGTCACCCAACACTTTTGCAAGGTTTTATAACCTAGATGTATCGTCGCTTGCCTCACATGTGCTGTCAGTGCGAGCGGCGCACCTGCCTTCTCAGCCTCAGTTATGATCTGAGCAGCATTCCTAAATACACCCCTGTACTGACGTGCCACCAATCCAATGCTGTCCCTATCAGCTCATCACATTGTTATGATATAGTTTATCACGTCTTTTAGGACTGGATCTTCATCATACTCTACTTATTTGAGCACCGGTTCAGCTGTTGCATCACAACACATAATTTCGTTGAAATGAACATACTTCAACTGGTCTATATGTGATGGCGCCGCCGCCATTTCATATTCTCTGTTTTACCAGTGCCGTATGTGAAACTTGACATACTTAGTTGAGCCAGAATCCATCGCTGTGACACGGCGGGATTTTATACGTTCCCAATAAGCATATTAATGCAATGTCTAAGTGAACGAATTGAAAGGGAACACTCTCGGTTACTCACGTAACCTCGGTTCCCTGAGATGAAGGAACTAGACATTGCTCTTATAGGCGTGTCACCAAACTCATTCACAAAGCAGCAAGAGAATTAGGAAAGTCAGAGCATTTGTGCTTTCTTAGTATTTGCAGGTTTCATATTTGACCGAGGAAGTGAAAACACTGTGAAAATAAACTTGAAAGCATTTTTAGTGTGCTCAGTTAAGCCAAAACATTGAAAAAAAGAAAGGTTTTTCACTCAAACTACCCTTTTCACTAGCATTTTTCAGCTTTAATTACAGTTCAACAGTCAGTACAAATCATTTATATGACATTGACTGAGTGAACCTTTGAGTGTGTTTAATTACCCGTACAAAAATTAACCATGGTCTTGCTACACTAACCATAGTTTAACCATGGTATTTGTAGTAAAACTGTGGTTATACAATGGTAATCAATGCGCTAAAAAAACATGTTTACTACACTTTTACTACAATAAAACCATGGTTAACTTTTGTAAGGGTAGTGTTGGAGCTGAACTCTTGTCTAGTCTGAGTTGGACCCTCACACATCACGTGCTCTCTTCATCTGTTTCTGTGGATTCCTGCAAGAAAAGTCTGTTTATTTGATTTCTCATCGATGTTACTGTGTTCTGTTCATCCCTCTCGTCTTATTTCAGCATATGTTATAACTGTTGCTCAATAAACAGCATTCACTGCAGCTTCCCCAGTCGTCTTGCTCCTTACACGACAGTAAGATCTCACTATTTCAACTAGAAATGTTAGTTAAACTTGCTTACTAAATGGACTAAGAGTTTATTCACATCTGTTTGTATCTCAACTATGTTCTCCATCAGACCACCGCCTAAAGTTCTCCTTTGACTTCTCTGTGGAAAAAGAAACAAACCAACTGGCCAAGTTCTGTCATAAATGTAAGTTGTATAATATTTATTGTTTGTATATTGAACTATCTTATTAGAGCAATATCACACTAGCAGTTGTGCTGTGATACTGAATATTCAGAACAACATTCTTATGATATTGTTTAAATAAAAGATTTTATGGGCAGAGGGATTTCAAAGTTTATGTTTAAAGTTAACCTTTAAACATTAAAAACCAAATACATTAAAAAAAGGATAATGTATTTTAAGCATTTAACATGGATAGTTCACCTAAAAATTAAAATTCTGTCATCATTCACTAACCCTCATGTTGTTCCAAACCTCTAAAACTTTAGTTCACATTACTGAGTATTTGTAATTCATTACTTCACACCCCTGGTGGTCAGATATGGTATTTGAGAGTTTTGATTGATGATTACCTACATTTTAGGAAACACGTTTTTCCTACTCACTGTCTGAGACATAAACATAATTTTCTTAGCCACTACCCAAAGCTCATTGTTAATTTTGGACCACTCATCCGTTTGTGGACATTACGCTTCGAGAGTAAAGAAAAGAGCAGTAAAATGCAAGTGCTATAACAAGTCTCAGTTAGCCCAATGCAGTACACATAACAAGGTTTATTTTTAAAGGGGTGGTTGATTGCGTTTTCATTTTTTTAAAGTTATTTATTGTTTATGCTCAAACAGCAACATTACACACTATCTGCAAAGTTGCGGCGCTGAGAGTTCAATGCAAACGGAAATATCGTCTTTTAAAATTCTGGCGGTTAAATGGAAAAAAAAAAAAAACTGGTAGGCACTACAACGAGTTACTTCCTGGGTTCGTGACAAGCGCAACGTGTAATTTTACTCTGAGAACTGCGCCCACTGGAGGGAAACGTAATCAGCTACAAGACCATTTGTTATTTTTAACCATGTCAAAGGATTATTTCACCACCCTATGTGAA